CAATTTATTTGAGAATTCAGACCCTTTTCCTTCAATTCCCAAAACTTTAGTTGCTTAATAATTTTGAGAGAGTATATAAGGCACATTCAGAACAAACAGACAATTAATGTTGGTGATCGTACAGGAACTAGTGTTTCAAAGTGATATGGTCATAAACCTTTTATGACCTAAAAACGTAAAAAATATAAATTCAAGTGCTTGATGCTAGCTAAATAAAGCAGAGCAATTTAATAACATATTCAGAGAAACAACAATAAGCAAGCATACTTTGTCTTTTGACTTGTATGTATGTATGTATATATATATATATATATATATATATTGTGAGGTTACCCATCAAATAGCTAGAATTTGAATATACCACACGAATTACATGTATTCTCTATATTGAACTGTCAAATAAATTTGTTCATTCCCCCCCCCAATATTATTTGAATTAACATACAAAATATTTGGCAAACATGGACCTCTGTGTCAGGAAGAAAAAATGGAGTGTCAAAAAGAACAGTTTTTTTGCCTTGACACTGCTATTAATTTAGCTACTTCACTCCTTAGCAATATCTATTGTTTTAAAAGGCAATGATTAAAATTTTAATGGAACCTAAACAAAGGATAAAAGTGACTTTATACATTTTTTGTTCTTGAGAATTTACAACAAAAATATTAAACACTATTTTATTGTTTATTTAAAATATAATTTCATATTTACAACATTCTAAAAATGAATAAAATTAAAACTAATGCAATATTTATCATTTACCAATTTTTTGAGAAATAAATATGAAATTTTTTTATTCATAAATTTGTAAACATTTATTGTACTATTTAAATGTGTATCAACTATAGGGAAATCCTTATTTCTTATATTATAAAGTTTTAATCAATTAGTAATTAGCCAATGTATTGCCTACCATTCCAATAAACAATATAATAAATAGTGTAAATAAACAATCAAATAGTGTTTTGTGTTCATCTTGTCTGGTTTTCTAAGTACTGCAAATATATACTCCAACCCCAAACTCCAATAGTGCACATGTCAAGAGTGGTTCAACCCAATAGAGAAAAAGCTGGTATTATATAGCTTTCTCAGACCCATCTTGGATAATTCCTACTTAGTACCATTTGTATGCAAATTTTGTCAGCACCACCTACTGTAAGTAGAATGCCTTCTATCAACAGCCACTTGTGGAAGGGGATGTGTTGTATCCTTAAAAAGGTTACAGACAAAGATTGTAATTGAGTGGAAGGAACAGCAACATGGCTGTAGATGGAAGAAAGAGAGATTTATTGTAAAAGAGAATACAATACTGAAGACAGGGAGTCAACTAACATTCTCAAAGACAGACAGTCCCTGGTATGTCCTACATATATTACCGATATAGTCAGTCCACAGTAGGTAATAAGGAGAGTGGAAAATTCCATTACAACAGGATGTAACAAGGAAAAAAATGGATGAATTCTCAAGAACAAGGAAAAAAAATGGATGAATTCTCAAGAACAAGGAAAAAAAAATGGATGAATTCTCAAGAACAAGGAAAAAAAATGGATGAATTCTCAAGAACAAGGAAAAAAAATGGATGAATTCTCAAGAACAAGGAAAAAAAAATGGATGAATTCTCAAGAACAGGAAAAAAAATGGATGAATTCTCAAGAACAAGAAAAAAAAAAAAGGATGAATTCTCAAGAACAAGGAAAAAAAAGGATGAATTCTCAAGAACAAGGAAAAAAAGATTAATTCTCAAGAACAAGGAAAAAAATGGATGAATTCTCAAGAACAAGGAAAAAAAAAATGGATGAATTCTCAAGAACAAGAAAAAAAAATGGATGAATTCTCAAGAACAAGGAAAAAAAAATGGATGAATTCTCAAGAACAAGGAAAAAAAATGGATGAATTCTCAAGAACAAGGAAAAAAAAATGGATGAATTCTCAAGAACAAGGAAAAAAAAAAAAATGGATGAAAGAATGAAAGAACAAGGAAAAAAAATGGATGAATTCTCAAGAACAAGGAAAAAAAATGGATGAATTCTAAAGAACAAGGAAAAAAATGGATGAATTCTAAAGAACAAGGAAAAAAAATGGATGAATTCTAAAGAACAACAAAAAATGAATGAATTAACTTTCATATGCTTAGGTTTTATTAAAATTCTAACCATCACTTTTTTAAAACAATAAACATTGCCGAGGAGTGAAGCTAATTAAAATAAAAGCTGTGTCCCCTGAAAAACCATCCTTTTCTCACTCCATTTTTTTTGCAGATATGAATGTCATATATTTATGTTATTTTTTTTTTTTTAGCTCTATTCTTCCTCTACAACATTTTATGACTTTTTTATATTTTGTAAAATTGATGAAAATAAAATTAAAAGTAAATGGAAAAAAATATGAACAAATTTATCTGACAACCCTTTTTTTTTTTGGCCGTAGTATATCTACATGTACATACAGGCATTCACACAAATGTAAAATAACAAAAAAAAAAAAATAGATTTGTATACTTACGTTGCTGAGGTATAAGTAGTGGAGGGTCAGGTGCTGGGTCACTTGGCTTTCCTTCGCCAACGTTGTTCACAGCACGAACTCGAAATTTATAGTAGAGAGCTGGCTGAAGGCCATGAATTGTGTAGTTTTTGACTGAGGCATCAATTTTGTCAGGATAGTTGATCCAACTTGGTTTAATGAGACTTGTTGGAGAAGCTGGAAAAAGAAAATCACATTATATAAAGAAATATAGTCTTAAGGTGTGCTATATTTATGGGATAAAGTGCTCAATATCAGAGATAGAGCGTGTGTAAATATAAAAATGACCAAAATAATTATATATATATATATATATATATATATATATATATATATATATATATATATATATATTATAGTTATCTATTTACAGCCCAGCATAAAAATAAATACTATACGGGAACTGCTAATAAAGAAAGAGAAATGATAGCAAGTCTTCAACAGCAGCAACCAAAAAATAGGCAGCAGCAGAAATTGCAGCTATAATAGCAACAAATGGATAGAATTTATTGACTCATTTTGATCAAATAATACCTAGAATTGACAAGCTGTTGTGTTGTGTGTACAAAAACATTTTTTTAAATAAAAGAACAAATGGATATATACATATTAAATTAAAGAATAAAAATTTACATAAATTGATAAAAGTATATATATCCATTTAAAAATTCTTTTTTAAATAATGGACTTAAATAGCAGCTGTAAAAAATAATTTTTTTGCATAGTTTTTATTTAAGCTTTATTCAACCTCTGAGAATATATAGCAACAAAAAAAGTAATATGTAACAAAAGGGACATAACTCTGACCCAGAAAATAAATAAAGGGACATAACTCTGTCCCACAAAGTGTTTAATTATCATCAATGTTAATTTTAATAATTATATTCTATTTTCTTGAGACAAGGGTCTCATGCACACCCAACAACTCAATTTTCAAAGGTTATTCATATAAAATTGAAATTTAATTATAACTAATTATGTCAATAATGGATCATAATAAAGAGTGTTTTGCTTTTTACCCCCCCACCGTATCTAACAATATGACCTCAAATTTATCAAACAAGCTGAAAATAGACAATTAAATGGTCAGGACCATTGCAGGGTGTCCCCCCCCCATTCCAACAAATCTCAACTTTCATAAGTTAGTATTCATATGAAATAGAAAATTTATTGTAAACTAATTATGTACAATAATGGATCATATGCAATATAGGTGAACAATTCAACTAGAAAAATAAATACAATGTATCTAAATACAAATTAGAGACATGTCATAATAGATAATTCCATCTTAAATAAACATGACACATGGCACAGTAGATTTTATTCGTTGGTTTGATGTTTCCATTGACAGGACCCAATCCTTTGTGAGTTCAATATAAAATTTTTAATGCATAGAGAACAAAAAGAGGGAAATTAACAGATTAATAACTGATAATTATTTTGACATCCATTAGACATGGCACGTGGAATTAAAAACATCTACCCCAGTGAGCGGAAATAAAGGTTCAAACATTCCATTTCTGAAGAATGCCGAGCATACATTATAAATTTATTTTTGATAAATATGGCGATATAAAGATGAGGACAATAGTCCAAATATGTAAATAGTGTACATAATTCTTCATCTCAAAAAATATAGACAGATACCAATTGGGATCTTTTCCTAAAAAATTGGGGGATATCTTTTCAGCTAAACTGAACTTTGATATACACACACACACCATAATATACATATACGATATATATTAAATTCTAATGACTTATTTCTATTACATTCATATCTTTTTTCAATTTTAGACTTCTTATTCTTCTAGACTGGTTTTCATTTAAATAATAAAAGCACAGCCTTTGCCTTGTTATTTTACCTCTATCTAAAGTATTAATCTAAAAAGGGATAGATTACAATCAGTTTATTTAAAGAACATACCGATTTGAATTCAGAGTTTTTATCTCCTAGACTGGTAAAAATCCATTATTCACATATATTTTTTTTATTTTATGAAAAATTTGAATCTATTTCATCTCTTTCATAGGTATTAGCATAATAAAATGCATTTTCTTGACCTGAAACTGAACTTACCCTGATGATTTCATTATTTTTTTGCCAGTAACCATCATGCCACCTGCACATTCAAACTCATTGTGTGAATTGAAGGCTACTGCTAGATTGGCTGTTAGGTCTCATTGTTTTACTATTGAAGTAGATAGATGTCACTTTAAGTCAGAGTGTTTCACAATTTTTGAAACAAAATGATGGGCACAATTCAATGGAAATTAAATATATAGAAAGGTAAAAGGATAACATTTTAGGATCTGCAACCATTTAGTCTCCAACCAAAAAATGTCAAGAGGAATTTTAGTTTATTATCCAGATGTTTGCTGTTCAGGCACTGTTGAATGCAAAGCTGTTGATAATGCATGCACATTCCTCCTGGTTGATTGCTCGAATCTTCTTAGTGATGGGTGCCTTCAATGCAGCAATGGTGTGAGGATTGTCCTGGTAGATATTAACCCTTGATATTTTTGAAGAAGAAATTTGATGGGGTTGAAATAAAGGCAATATGACATATTGATTAATCTTCAGCTTTGTTTTGATGAGATTTTCGAATTAAAATTTTCACAGATCAAAATTGTGCCATATTAACAATAGCAGTGTGAAGGAAAAGTTAAACATTATGCTGGAATATGTTCCTCCCTCTAATATCAAGGTCCAAAAATATAATCGGGTTTCTGAAATTTCCTGAACCCTATTTTTTTATTGTCCTTTTATACTTAAATTAAAGTCTTCTCATAAAAAAAAAGTAACCCCTTATGTCTTATTTGGCTATTATTTAATTAATAAATCTTGAAATGATAATTTGAAAAAAAAAAAAAAAAACAATTCTCAAAGTTGTTTCAAGTTTGAACAATTAAAATTTAAATATAATATTTATCTTTAAATAAACTATTATCATCAGATCCTGGGGTCCAATTTATTCGAGACACTCCCAGGTTAAATTTTGACGTGAGCAATGATGAATTGAACAATTGGTGGGAATTTTAATAATAATACTATTATAAAAAGTAAACATTTTTTAAAAAAGCAATGATAAATGGGATCCGACAGAAGGATGCTGAGAATTGAACTGAACATGTGAGCAACGATGGAGTTTTAGAGAAAATGGAAACAAAAAGGAACCTTATACTTAATATTAGGAAGAGACAGTTGAATTTTTTAGGGCACATAATGAGGAAAGAGGGCTTGGAGAATTAGATACTCCATAGGAAAGTTTGAAGGCAAGAGGGATAATGGCGAACAAGGCAATAATATTTAAAAATGAGCATGCTTGAGAAAATGGATGGCAAATTTTAATTTAAAATTAACAGAAAAAAGACAATAATTAAAGAATACAAAGGACAGAAAATTATGGAGAGCCATATAATTAATACTTCCTGAAAGGACACACGAAATTATAAAAACAAGTTAGTAAACTGTTGAATATATATATATATATATATATATATAAATTGATTTAAAATTTTTTTTTTCTGCTACACAGTTTCTAACAATTAATCGTAGTTAAATAAAAAGTATTCTTACCTAAATAAAAAAAAAATCTTTAAATATACGAAGGAAAAAAAAATTAAAGAATTTTTAAAGTTAAATTTTAAAAAAAAAAATCCAGACGATGTGTTTTTTAATTGAAAAATACATCCCTACCCACTACCAAAACGTAGCAATAACTGATACATTAAAATATAGACATATTGAAAACCCAAAACACCAAATTAGCAAAATAGATTTATCTGTAACCTTAAAGAAATGAATTTTGTTTTAGCTGTGTATTTTAAAACCCAGTAATTTAAAAAGTTACTCCAAAATTCGCTTGAGGATGAAATGGAACTAATGTCTTTAATAAAAAAATAAATTGGAGCTTTTTAGATTCCATTTTTGAAACATGGTTAGAACTGTTTAGAAAAAAAAAAAAAAAAAATTTTAAATCAATTAATTTATAATATTAATGCTTTGTAAATTTACATAATTAAAACTATATTTTTAAAAATAAAAATAAATATGTATTAAAACACCGGATTATATATCTTAATATTTTTTTCTTTTATATATATTTTAAAAAAATGATTTGTTTCATTTAATATTACATTTTTGAAATATAATATACATTTGGTTTCATATAAGTTTTTATAAGAAAATTCTACGGGAGATTAAAACAACATTTAAAATATAATAATATATAAATATATATATATATATATATATATATATATATATATATATATATATATATATATGTGTGTAAAAAATATATAGAAAATAGGAAGGAACTGGTTAGGTAAATAATCCAAAGTCCCTTAGTATTTTAGTTATTATTTTTAAAAAATAGTGCTCGATACAAAAGTAGAGCATAAATATAATTATTTATTTAAAAATATGATTCCAAATCGCGACATAAGAAGTCTCATGTTTCAAAACAAGAGCCGAAAACTTCAATATAATTATTTAAATTAAATTGAGTTAAAATAAGCTCTGTTCCATCTTCAAGCGAAATTTTTTTTGGAATAACGTATTTCTGAAATTTACGTGTTTTAAAAATTGAAATCAAAATTTCCATGGTAACAGCTAGGGCGAATTGTTTAAATTGGGTAGGCGAGTGTTGGGTGTTAATAATAAGTATCAGTATAGAGTTACTTTCATAGATGTCAAGTCAGGGAAAGGTGGGGGTGTCTAAATTTGAAACGGAAGATGTATTAACCCTCGTCTAGTTTGCATGTCTATGGAGATTTATTTATTTTTTTTTTTTTTATTTTTTTTTTTTATGAAAAAAAATATAAAAAAAAAAAAACTGTCGTAACGTTTGTTTTTTGACGACTTCATAAAGGGTTATCTTTTTATAGGTATTTAAACTATTTATTATATATGGATTGGATTATATTGTTATATTGTATGCATGTTTTTAGTTAATTATTCAAACCATGAATCTGATGATTGGGCTATGGATTAAACAAGTTATTATATTGTATATCTTTTTAGCTAATAATTCAAACCAAAAATCTGATGATGTGACAAAAAACCGTTAACTCATGTCTATTGTTTAATAGATTATTATTATTTAGAAATTTAATTATGTGCAATTTCTCATGGAGGCATAAAGGGCATGGGTCATCCCAAGTTTTAC